AAGATAAGAGCTGAAATATTATAAAAATATAAAAAGAATTAAACAGTTCCAAAGTGCGGGCGCGTGGATATGCAAATATGGTTAATTTAATCGCCATGACAAAAAGGCAAAGTAACTACGTGCAAGTGGTAAGTGTTTCATATTATCGTTCATGAAAGGAAAAGTTCGTAATTGAAATTCTGCGACGTTGAAATTTATAATGCGCCGGTAAAAAAGCAGAAATTTAATCACTTAAATAAAGTTATTGTGACTGGAATATAAAAGTCCACGATAGCAGCGTGCTGAATGAAAGAGGTGCCGAACAGGGCATTGCCGTTAAGTAAATTCAGAAATTGTCGGAAAACCAAGTTAAATTGCCGTGAATTCAATATGGCGCTGTGTCGATAAAAAAGGGCGCCAAATGTGGCGTGGTTGCTAAGCAAACAACATGATAGCATTAGCCATCATAATGATGTTTCCGCAGTCAAATGCTAAAAGATTAACATGTAAAACCATTGTAGATGAATAAATTAACTAAGCAACAAAAATGAACAGACGATGGTTTAGGCTGCTCGATAGAAGGACGGAATAACTCACAGCCAATACGAAGCGACGGCAAAGAAAACAAAGCAAAAGCTGTATTACTGCATCTTCCCGAAAGAGAAGGTAAGCTGGGAAGAGAAAAAAAAAAAAACAGCGACTGCTACTTTCCAAGAAGGAAGAGGTGAAAAAGGAAAGAGAGCAAATCAAAACAGGAATAACCTGCTTCTTCGTAAAGGCGGAAGTCAATTCTACTTCTTCCTGTTAATTACGGAACATGCAGTTTTGTGGCACAAAGCAGGCGGGGGAAATTGGGAGAGTCACTTCTACTTCTTTCAGGCAACCCATTCGGTCAGACACTAGGCTCGTGTTCTCCTGTTTCTTTAAATAAGAAATGAAATAGATGGTTTGAAATCATCTTTTCTGGAAGAAAAGCTTCTTATGAATATTTCGATACTGTTCATAAAGGCCTCATGTAGTTAAAATACACGATTTCCGAAAAATTAAACATTTTGTCAGCATAAAAAAAATACTGGTACCTAGAAATACATGATAAAATTATTGTCGGACAAGGGAGATAATCCATTTCCGTTTGTCAAACTACTAGATGCAACAGATTTTCATGTCTGTGAGACTGCTTGGTTTTTTTCTTTACTTTGATAGTTGCTGCCATTGCTGATGCGTATATTGCTTCGTTAAGACTTATACAACCAGAATTAATTTCAGTGCTGCATTGAAGTCTAATAGTTTTGAGGTTTTGCTTTGTTGCTTTTAATTTGGGGAGTTATTCTTGTTCCTCCATTTCAATATTTTATGTCTGACATATGTATTATGATTTCTTCCTTGGTTTCTTATATACTATTTGTGTTTTCCTTTAAATAATTCGGCTCAATGTAATTTGAACTCGTTTTATTGCAGGTTTGTGAGCGACTAAGATCATGCCTTTTCAAGTCTTCTAAACTTTCAGCATTATCTTCCCAGTGATTGGTGTGTATCACGATTTCTTCATTATAAACTGTGATGTTAGTACTTTTTATGTACATTTCTGATTCCCTTTCATGTCCTATTGGTTCGCCTTCTTCTTCATCATCTTCTTCTTCTTCTTCTTCTTCTTCTTATTATTATTATTATTATTATTATTATTATTATCCTTGCGTAAAGTCTAAACCTGAGGAGTTATATAAATTTAGTGATGTAAAGATTAATATCTTTAGTTTCGTCTTTTAGTAATTGATTGGGCGATATCACGAACATAAATTCCCCAATGTTGATTTATGTGACTTCAAATTTTGGCAAAATAATTTATTCCCAACACGTGATGCTCATATATATATATATATATATATATATATATATATATATATATATATATATATATATTAAAATGGACAAAAGTCCGACAATTCTTTTAAGACATTTTTTATGTTTGTACATTCTTTTTATAGATACAAATTTTAAAGTAAATGCTCTGTTTGATAATAAACAGTATTGATAACATTTATTATAAAACAGAGCATTTACTTAAATATTTGTGTCTATAAAAAGAACGTATAAATATAAAAATGTCTTAAAATAATTGTCGGACTTTGTCCATTTCTTAAAGCGTGACGTATTTTGGTTACATTTCGATACGCTTTGAGTAGATATAAACGTACGTGAGAGATTCCTAGAAGATTGAATTTTAAAGGCAGTAAATCCGACCTTGCTAATCCAACGATCCTCAACCGGTTAAGAGAACGTCAGGCTAAATGACGGTTCCATATAGGATACAGGTTCGATTCTATTTCTATGACAATTTCTCGGACATTCAGGCCGGTAAATGTTGTCTAATACTGCTTATTATAAACAGAGCATTTACTTAAATAACTGTATCTATAAAAAGAATGTATAAATATAAAAATGTTTTAGTATATATATATATGAATATAAGTATGTATGTATATATAAAGCATAAATGTGCTCAAGAATACCTTGCTTAGATATATAGATAAATAGAATTAATACAAATAAAAGGTTTGTTACTTAGCTGATTTCCGATACCGTCAGCATCCCGACTCCAGAGTTTCGTAGACAGACTATCCGGGAATCATTCTGTCCGCTCGACAGGGTATCAGCAATTAAATTCTTATACATTTGAATTTTTCTTTTTTATGTGTACTCTGCACTAGTAGCTTTTTTTTTTCATAATGTAAATGTTCGTGCATTTATGCTCAGGCGTGCGGGCGTGAGTGCGTTCACGCGCATAGATAGATAGATAGATAGATAGATAGATAGATAGATAGATAGATAGATATACCCGTTATTGTTGAACACTATTTTACTTTTAGCGGTATACTCCTTTGCTGAGGTCCTATTTCCCCCAAGATATCGAGCACTTTATCAGAACGCCTGTAAAATCTTGCTAGTATTTTACACATAAAATTATGCCACATCCATCTTGGGCAGATGGCCAACCACCCACAACAATTTTAGTGTATTCTGTTGGCGGGTGCATGTTAAATACATATTAACTACCCTTGTAAGTTCCTTGCACTTAACAAAGAGGTATAGAGTGAGCATTTTCTAAAATGACTGTTACCGACCGGCTGGTGACTGCGTGAGATCACATGAACCTTTAATTTCTAGTGGGCCACCGTTTCCTTGTACTTTACTGAGAAATACTAACGCTCTGCCAGCCTTTCTGTCTTTCTTCGGAGTGACTCTGTCGCATCCTCCTTTAGAATGCATTCAATGCATTCGAGACAGTCACAACTGTGTGGGCCTGTACATCTATAACAGATGCTGCACCGCCATTAGCAGCTGAGGCATAACTCTTTGGACGCAGATCCATTATTTCTCGAGAGAAAAAAACAACACACAGACTTACAGGGTGCGATGGATAAATTGTCGTCTAAATTAGGCAAAAATGAACATAACACTAACATTTGATTTTAGCAGATCATATATATATATATATATATATATATATATATATATATATATATCAACTTAAACAGACAGAAGGAAAAGGAAAAAAGGAAAAACAGAGAGAAAAGAGAAAAAGGAAGAAACTTGTAAAGGTAAATGGGAGAAAGAAAAGAGGGGGAGAAATACAAAAATTTCAATATATGGTTCTTTGGAAGAAAGAGAAAAGAAACTTAGAGATGGGGAGGAGAGAGAGAAAGATAGAGTGAGAGAGGGAAAGAAAGGAAGGCGACATTTTAATATATAGGGTTGGGGCCGTCTTATACTCCAGGTCTAAAATGTAAAATTTAATCCTATCGTTCATGGTAAGTGTTGTTAATTTAAATTAGAAAAGGCAAATTGTTTGATGATAAAAACACTATGAAATCCAAGATCAAATCAAGACGAACTGTTTGAAAATCAAAAAAAAAAAAAAACATTGTAAAAACCAGGGGGGTGGGTGGCTGCAGAATGAAATACTGCAATCAAAAATCGTACTCCAATCTCAAGAAATCCCAGCACACGTCTTTTTCGCTGTCAATCCACTGCCCGTTCAAAACCGTCTGATAAAAAAAAAACTGCGTCCTGAAAAAAGGACGTGTTCTTATATCAGATGCTTCCTCGCCCATTCAAATGCACCAACTCGTGCGCTATGACGGGATTACAAATGGCGACCATGACCGCCCCTTTGGTCTCACTTCTCTACAGTACGTTGTCATCATGGGATCGGCACCTCGAGGTGGTGTAATGGTTAGCAAGCTTGTCTCGCTAGAAGAATTACGACTGAGTAGCGAGTTCGATCCTCACTGGGTTCCCCATACTTTCGGCCTTGTGCCACATCTAAGCCGAAAATCGTTATAGAGGGTCTGAGAGAGGCGAGATATATAGAGGGACTGAGGGCACCTCGACGTGGTGTAATGGTTAGGAAGCTTGTCTTACTAGATCAATTACGACTGAGTAGTGAGTTCGATCCTCACTGGGTACCCCATACTTTCGGCTAGTGCTACATCCGAGCTACGCTTGCAAAATCGCTAGAGCTTTGTGCTCCCCCTCCTTGGAGGGGTATACGCGCATCATTTATCATCTCTCAGTCGCGTCTCTGTCCTTGGACAGAGTGCGCTCAGGGGCTTCTCTGTCTAAGGACGGGGGGTGCAACTGAAGAAAATAATACTGAAGAGGTGCCCAGCCCTGGGGAACAGCTGCCCGAGGCCGCGCTCTCCCATTGCACAAGAGGGAGGGATCGGTGCTCGCACCGAGGCCAGCGCAACCGACAGTTGCGGGGGCTGAGGGGAATTTTTGTCCCTGCCCGGGTGTACGCGCTCGGGTGCCCACATTAAACCGACCTTGTGTCACATCTCATTCTCGTTGGGGAACAAGTAAATCACACGTTGTCAGCATGGGAGATTTTTTTACGGTAGGCTAACTCCTACTATCGACACAAATATTTTTTGCTGAAACAATTTAATTCACATTATTATAATAAAATAATAAAAAAAATATACAGTGTAACATATGTCGCATTCGTGCTGACAATAAAACATGCTTCGTGACCCTTTCAAAGAGAATATAAGCAACGTCTCTAGACAGACAAACCTAATAAGAAGAGGGAGTGGCAACATGCTGCAACAGATTACGACACTACAGCTTAACAGAAATCTCCTTACTAATTCACAGTCTTCCTCATCAAGCTACGTGCCATTTGCACATTCCTTCATCAAGCTACTTGACATTTACACTCGTCCTCGCTAAGCTATATGACATTTACACGCTTCCTTACCAAGTTACGTGACATTACTACTCTCCTCACCAAATTATGTGTCATTTAATCTCATTTCCACCAAGCTACGTGACACTTACACTCACTTCGCCAAGCAACGTGACATTTACACTCTTCTTCACCAAGCTACTTGGTTTTGCCCATTTTCCTTACCAAGCTACATAACACTTAAACTTTCTTTCTTGCCTCTTTCATATTTCTTTTCATCTTAGCTACAAAGAAAGCTTGTACAAACAGGATTTTTTATATTTAAAAACCTTTACTTATATTGAAAACTTTTTTTTTATACTTAAAAACGTTTCTCTCATTTTTCTTTGTTGTGACTTGATTCCAACCTTAAACACCTTCATTGAGCACCATTTTCCTTGGTCTTAGAGACTGGATAACGGATGTAGACTCTGGTTGTAACAAAAATCTGTTCATACATATTATTTCTACGTATACATCAGAAGCTTCAGTCACGTTTCATCAGCCAGTCAGTGGCTACGTTACGTTTTGTCTCTATTCTCATTCGAGAAATGAGAAGTCAGACCCAGTTTCCAATGTATTTCTGTGTGTCACACAGGACTTAGCTTTCACGGCCAGTATGAGGAGGCAGGTGACGCATGGAACAACTTCTGCAATGTCGAAGTAACAGATCAGCTCTTTCCTCCGAATCTCCACCCTAACAACCATCAGTTCATATCAACCCCAAGACGTGTGGCTGTCAAGACGCACCTTAAGAATCAGAACTACCTGAGGGATTATCTGATTTTTGGGGTTTTTTTTTGGCCGAGAGTGGATCAGAACTGTCTATTTTAATCCCAACCCTCACTCATATTATACACCCGCAAATGGAAAACATCTCTTATTTATTTATTTATTTATTCATAGCGGCTTCAAAGGCATTATCCGCTGGCAATAACACCTCAAACACTCGAGAATGAAGTAGAATCTCGCATCTTTTCCGACAGTGGCAGAATGACAGAAGTGTCACTAGCACGCAAGGGGTTACAGAGTGAGAGCAAGAGTAAAGACAGAAAAAGAAAAAGATATAGCGAAGAACGTGAATCGGTATCAAGGCATGAAAAAATGTCGACTGATATTACATTTGAATATTATAGCTATCAGGGAAGCAGGTAACTGGAAAGGAGTTCAGATGAAGGGGAGTACGTGATAAGAAGCCGTTGGAGTAGAAGAGGCGGATTTACTTAATTGTTTCGACAGTGAAAGGGTGGGACGGAGATGCCAAGCTAGCATCACGCTTAGATTCATGCAGTTAGGGTACCAGTGAAAGTATCTCGTCAGAGCAATTACCATAAAAATATTTGTAGAAAAGACAGAGGGAAATCACAGCACGCCTGTGAGAATGTTACTGTAGACGAGATGCCAGATCAGGACCTATCACATTGCATATCCGTCTCTAGATTTCGTCGAGGACCTGGAGATGATGTCTCACTCATAGTGCAACACCTAAACAGCTGTGCAACTTTAGTATAGATGAACAGCATAAGAATAATGGAAATTAGAACTCAATATTCCGATTAAAAACTCCGAGTAATTATTCATTACACCACACGCACATTCAAGCGTGCAGCACCTGGTATTCCCAAGCGGTCACCCATCTAGGTACTGACCACGCTAGATGTTGCTTAACTTACAGGAACCGGTGTTTCAACGTGATGTGGCCGCAATGGATTATATATACAATTCACCTTTAGGATCTTAGGTGAACTTCCGTCGCAAAAAAATATTCAAAGCAATGGTTCCCTTTGAGAGAAACAACAGTTCATCATGACTGGAGAAATGCCACTCCTAAAAATACTGACCAGGATAGATGTTCGTTAACTTCGTTGATCATACGGGGGGGGCGGTGTTTCAACGTGATGTGACCGCTAGGGATTGTATATTGGGATCTAGGGTGAATTAGAGTCTCAATAAATGTTCAAAGCAAAGGTCCCCTCTGAGGGAAACAACAGCTCATCATGAGTGGAGAAAAGTCACTCCGACAGATACTGACTTGGCTAGATGTTGCTTAACCTCAGTGATCCTACGAGAACCGGTGTTTCAACATGACGTGGCCGCGATGGAATCTATATACAATTTCCCCTTGGGATCTAGGGTGAAGATGAGTCCCAATAAATGCTCAGAGCAATGGTCCTCATTGAGTGAATCAACTGTACATCATAACTATAGAAAATCCACTCCTACAGAAACACAAGCAGACAAAACGTGTACACACATGAATATAACCTCTTCGTTCTCCTCCATACCATTAGACTTACTCTTGAATAGAAGCGATAAATCTTCACTACAGAAGGTGTTACTACTCCGATTTATAGAGCAATTACGTTTTTACGGGGCTACAGTTGTCGGCCCACACGCCAAACAAGTTTAATCACGGAAATGAACTTGTTTCTAAAAATAGTAATAAAATAGGACTAATATTTAATCTATTTCTTGGGTGAAAAAGAGAGAAACAATCGCTCATCATGATTGGAGAAAACACGAAGTTATCTCTGTGATGATTGTTTGGTTTGGTTTATTTTGTTTTACGATACATCAACCTCAATGGGTTATTTAATGCCGACAACATTTTTAGGATAGATTCGTATGAATAGAATATGTATTCTTTGGTTTAGAATTGGTTTGGTTTATTTTATTTTACGGCATATCAACCTCAATGGGTTATTTAATGCCGACAACATTTTTAGGATAGATTCGTATGAATAGAATATGTATTCTTTGGTTTAGATTGGTTTGGTTTATTTTATTTTACGGCATATCAACCTAAATGGGTTATTTAATGCCGACAACATTTTTAGGATAGATTCATATGAATAGAATATGTATTCTTTGGTTTAGATTGGTTTGGTTTATTTTATTTTTCGGTATATCAATTATGGGTTATTTAATGCCGACAACATTTTTTATTGCTGGTAATATTTTGTTTTGTCACAAATCTGTTCCTGGTAATATTTTTCCTTCAAAATTGTATTTCTGGTAATTTTTTTTTCAAAAAAGTAATGCTGGTAATAGTTACCTATTTGCCCATAGCTGAGACCCTAACAGGTGCTACCACCCCTAGTCAAGGTTGACCTGGGAATAATTAAGACGTGGTACCACGCTCCTCAAAACCTCCTGATCAGATGCCTTGCTGCTGGATGTAGTTTATCGTCTTACCAAGGACAACTGTAATGGTGGAATGTTACTGGATTGCTTTCAGAGATATTGAATGATATTCGCCTGTTCATCCACCATTGAACCTTACGAGCAGGAACCGAGAAGAGTGCAAGTTCAAGCCTCGGTTATATAATATTTTTTTTCTGGGAGTGCATTTATAAACCTTGGTATTTGATATATTTAATAATGGTCTGAGAATGTTTAATTTTTTTTAGGGAGACCGTTAAAATATAGCAGAAAAATAATAAAATCGACGAGAGATGGTATGAATTACAAGTTTCCTTCATGTTAATTTCACTTCATCCAAGTACCTGATCTTTACCGTCCGATAATCCAAGCAAAAGCCCCTAACCAATGTCTGTCCTCAAAACCGTGAAAGAAACTCACACTCTTCATCTTCGTCACCTTTCTCTATTCTATCTTCATACACATACATGACATTAAATTAACCTGGCAGTCGATGGACTTTACTCGCCCAAGCCGATTTCTCCTTTCATTATAAATGCAAGGACAATATCACGAATACTACCTCGCAATCCTGAACATTGTTAAACAAAGTGCCTATCACAAAAGTCCCGTGCCAAAGACTTCATTCGATTATCTCACTAAATCTATCAAGGGACACTTCGAAACGAAATTAGGTGTATTGCTTTCTCTTTACTCGACCCGGTGTCTGAAAGCTATAAATGTCGTCGCCATCTTTTCTTTGCAGAGGTTGGCTGATTCAGTATTCTGGTCCCAGACGCAACGGGACAAGTTACTGTGTTATTATGGTGATGGAAAATAATTCGTGTTTCTTGTCACAACTTTACAAATTTTGAAAACCTCAGACAGGAAATGAGTTGCTACACTATCTAGCATATATACGCTGCCAATGCGGAAATTATTCAAGCATTTAATATTAACAAAAGAAAAAAGAGCCTCCCTAGGATAATGGCGCTTTAGTCCACTTGAAGTATTCTTTACTAATGCTGACCGAATAAAAGGCGAAAGCGATAATCACGAGAGAGGGTTACTAAATTTGGTGTGCGATTAGACACAAACAAGTAAATACTAATTGGATACAGCGGATAGATAACGATTGACTCTTGACTTGAAGAGGCTAAAGTTTGTAGCTTTCAGGAAAGCATCCACGCGGGAGTCTGTTCCACAAAGCAGCGACTCTTAGGAAGGAGAAATATGACAAAAAAATGAAGATGGTTTACTCGTTCTTTTTTTGTTCTGCTTTTGTTTAAGAAATTTCGACTTTTTCAAGTTATTAAGAACTGGATATTGTCAGTATCGCAGAGGAAATTGTTGGCTAAAACGTGGCGTTTTTATTTTTATATTTCGTAAAGACAGAATTTGAATTAAACGAAATTCACGCGTATTGTTTTAATGAAATCATATGCAAAACGGTTTTCCAGCCTTATTCAGCCCCAGACTGTATGGACTATACACAGCGGTTGAATAAGACTGACGAAGTTTTCGCCGGTTGAAATAGATCTATCCCTCATAGGAGGTAATTTGGGATTTTGTTGCGTACACCGGAGAAGAATCAATAAAGTTTTCACATTTTCCATATCTTTCAATAAACCGATGTCTTTTTACTGGAAATATATGAAGCAAAGACTATTGACTTTCCAATAAGAAAGCAATGGAAATTGTTCCCTGGTGAAGTCAATGTAAAAATAGAAAACTTGAAGATACATACACGAATGTCTAGCTGTTCAGCCAGTACAAGGCCCGGGAAAAAGTCGTTACAGAATAAGAAGGACAGTTTATGCGAATAGGTGGGGAAGATGTCAGATAACCATAGACTTTCGTGGGTGGTCTGCTACAATATGAGTGGCATGGTGGGCCCTAGCCGTGAAGGTTGGAACTGGTGTGACCAAGGGATGCAGTTTATCCGTGCACATTCCATAGAAGTTGTTATGGTCCGGTTCCTTGTACTACGGTGATAGTCCAAGGTAGAACCAATAAAGAAGAACTCGAACACGAATATGGAATAACACAGATATATTACAAACAGGAATATATACAGAGAAGTATAAGTGTTAGTATGAACAATCAGATTTAGTAGAGAGAACAATGTAGTCTCGACCAGTATCACTATTCCAATGTCATGTAGTAATTGTCTGAACGCGACTCTGTTTCGGACTGCCTCTGACTCGACTGACTGACTCGCTCGCTCTGACTGACAGACTCCTGACGACTTCACTCCAGACTTCAGACTGAACAGTATTTAGACCCCCCCCCCACGAGGGCATCATGTGGCACAAGGCCGGTTTCACGTGGGATCTCCTAGTCTCTGGGTTCGGCCAAAAATATGCACTTTGAACCCGTATAAACGGGTTCAGGGTCAGTTTACCTCCCCGAAAGAGACTCCGCCCCTCGGCGTAGCCTCGTTCAGAGAGTTCAACCGATCAGCCGATCAGCCGGTCGCCCGACTTCGGACTGAACGATATTCAGTCACCCCCCTCCACGAAAGCATCATGTGGCACAAGGCCGGTTTAACGTGGGATCTCCTCCAGCCCGTGGCTCGGCCAAAAGATGCGCTTTGAACCCGTATAAACGGGTTCAGGATCGGTTTACCTCCCCGAAAGAGACTCCACCCTTCGGCGTAGCCTCGTTCGGGTTCCTCCCCGCCCAATGGCAGAGAGTTCAACCGATCAGCCGGTCCGCCGGTCGCCCGACTTTGGACTGAACTCTTTGCTTCCTCTTGAGGCGCAGTATTTATTACGTATGGAATAGTCCATTATGTTATTAATGGTAAGGTCCCATAACAGAAATAATGACAGAGCAAGGAGACGCTAGCCATATCTAGCCGGTGAGAGGGAGGTCGGAAAGCGGAAAATTATTTGTCACCTACGATTACACGAATATGCCTTTAAACTCTGTCGATAGTGGAAAGGGAAAGCTAGGCAGTTCCTACCCAAATATGACCTGATTTTCAGTTTAGGCCTGATTTTCAGTTTAGGCCTGATTTTCAGTTTAGGCCTGATTTGGCTCTTGCATAGATAAAGGATAGCATGAGGAGTCAGGTACTTACTGGAGCGGTACAGGGGACCAACCATTTTTCTATCATCTTTATTTCGCTGACTAGGGTAGACTATTCTAGTTCCACGTGCCATATCTAATGGATGTCAGTTATTTCCTGCTTAATTTCCCCTTCAAGTTCTCCACAGTCTTAATCAGGTATTGAACTCACAATCTTTGGGCCCTGTCACTGGATATAACTAACGCCTTTATCCACTGTGCCATGTGTCGAGTGAGCCAAATAAAGAGTTTAGTTCGACATTCCAACGACCTGAAGAAGACCGGAGCGTACAACGGCAGAAAACGTTGTAAAAATATGGCGACAAAGATGAAGACAATAGTCCGAATAATGTAATAATATATATATATATATATATATATATATATATATATATATATATATATATATATATATATATATATATTTATTTATCTTATTTTATTTATTTTCTATTGTTAGGTAATATTTTTATTAGTATTTTTTATTTTATCACAGCTTATATTATTAATTTTATTACTTTCATTATTGATTTTGATACAAAAATAGAATTATCTCATCTTATGTGTTAAACTAAAATTAAACTACAATTCATTTAAATACTTAACAGTGTTAATCCAGGCTATCAATTCAATGTCTCGTCATAAGCAGTAATAGTAAGCAAACGGTGTAACCCAAAAATTGAACCTGAAGATTGCAAATAGTATGAAACTCCGTGTTGTGCAATCAACATATTATATATATATATATAGATATATATATGTATGAATATTTTCCAGAGCAATATTCACAAGGTGCTGAACAGCAAAGGCACTTGTTCTGAAGATCGCATTGAATCGTGAAACGGATAATCACCATATTGTGTTGATTCCTATATCCACACTGTGTATATCTATAAACGCTATATCGTTGATATTGATCAATCTCCCATATTAAACAACACACACATGCGCGCTCGCTCACAGATAGATAGATAGATAGATAGATAGATAGATAGATAGATAGATATGAGAAACTTGATATAGAGGGATAGATAGATAAATAGTTAGATAGATATGAGAAAACAGATACAGAGGAATAGATAGATGAATAGATAGATAGATAGATAGATAGATAGATAGATAGATAGATAGATAGATAGATATGAGAAACTTGATACAGAGGGATAGATAGATAAATAGTTAGATAGATATGAGAAAACAGATACAGATAGATAGATAGATAGATAGATAGATAGATAGATATCGTCGCGTCTGTTATTATCTGATATATAAGCTGAAATTTTCCCCCTATAATATTTATTTTAGAGTTTTGGAGAATAATTGGTTTACGTGCATTGACCAGCTGGATACAATTTTGAAAATATGTCTTTGTGTAAAATCAATGTTTCTTTATCTTTATGTTCGTTATGTATCTCTGTGTGCGCATAAGCGCGTTTGTGTGCTTGCGTGTTGGATGGTTATACGCTGTGAAAACTACTGTCAGCTCCTGAAAAACAATTCATGACTTTTGCTAAAACGCTGTCGACATTGCAGAATATTCTTATAATAAACATCCAGGTATTTGGTAACTTTTTTTTTCTTCTCTTTTTTTTTTTTTTTTTTTTTTTTTTGCTGCGAACGGAGAGTAACATTTGCTCCTGACAATTGCGCACAAAATTTACTTCCGAAAAGATTTGTCACGAATCTAGGAAATTCACCTGACCTTAATCTCATCCTCAATCTTGGAACCATCAAGAAGTGGCGTGGTGAACATTCTCTCTTCTGAAAGAGACACAGGATTGCTGAGTTTTGGAGGATTTAATAAGCGAGAAAATATTCAGGAGAGTCCTTCGATGTCGTAAAACTAATATTTTAACATGTCTTGTGTTAGGAGATCTGATTAAAATATAATAATTAATAATAGCTGCCCTACGCCCATTGTCTGCAATGGACATTACTCCAAGGAAGCGTACGATGATTGTAACGTTGCACGAACACGCCGACAAGAGCTACCATTGAGCAAATCAACGTAATATAGACTGGACCGGACACTCTCCTGATTTAAATCCAATCAAGAATCTGTGGCCAATATGCAAGGAACAATTTCGTAGAATGGACAAACGAAGTTATAACGTGTGCACTGTGTCATCTTTCATTGGAAAAATACAAAAAATGTAAATAATAATAATTATTATTCGTTTTGTTTCAATTAATTTGCACAAGGGTGAATGTCAGTACATTAGATTAATTGGAGGGGAGAGTGTGTGAGGGCAACCCAGACACAATTGACAGGCTGAAAAAAACATCAAGAGAGAAATCAAGAGAATTCCGAATGACATGTTGGGGAGAGTCGTGAACAATTTCAGTGTTAGAGTGGCGAACGTCATCCAGTAGCAAGGCACCTGGATCGAACATGTTATCAATCACTGATCACAGTCACTAATCATTCATCAATTTGAAAATGCTTTTGGACATTAAAACTTTAACATATTTTACCCCTCTTGCGAAAAAAAATCTCACAAAAATTTCTATATTTGTAGAAACTTTAACAATTTTATTTTATCCCTCTTTTCGTCCCAGACCCTGTTATAGTAAATGCTTTCGGCTGGATGTTGTCATGCAGTTTGGTGACAAATCAATTAGAATTAATCTTGGGGCGATCACATATGTTCTTCCTCGAAGAATCGATAAGTAATACAGATTCATTAACAGCATCAGACATGAGAAGTCAAGCATAATCTAGTGGTCTCATTAACGATTATTACGACTGGCCGATATAAATCAATGTTCACCTGGATTTTGAAAAACCCAAGACCTAAACAAATATATAGCACTGAATCAGAATTAGACCCCTACGCAAATTAATCGAAACAACTGCTTTAATTTCCTTTCTTTCACCATACGGTCATTTTTAGACTCACTAAACTAACAGGGTGTAATCGATTTCTATTTTTTGTTCAGATTAGATCATTTGCAGTGGTGTGCAGTCATATGAATCTATTTTTGGTGTGTATGATCAAAATTGTTTGGCCGTGAAAAATATTGCGTCATCCGTGATTGCATCAGATTTTCATCACGCCCACACACTATTGTCCCGACTGGCGATTAGTTGTCCTACGACCATTGTCTCCAATGGATATTACTCCAAGATAGCGTACGATGATTGTAACGTTGCACGAACACACTGACAAGAGATACCAGTGAGGAAATCAAAGTACTATAGACTGACCTGGACACTCTTCTGATTTAAATCCAATCGAGAATCTGTGGACAATGTGCAAGGAATGACTTCGTGGTATGAACATACGTAGTCATAACGTGTGCACTGGGTGAGGTTTCATTGAAAAAATACAAAAAACGTAAGTAATAATTATTATTATTCGTTTTGTTCAGTTAATTTGCACAAGGGTGAATGTCACAATTAAAACAATAAAATTAATTAATACGAAAATATATCAAAATTAAAACAATAAGATTAATTAATACGAAAATATATCACAATTAAAACAATAAAATTAATTAATACGAAACTATATCGAAATTAAAGCAATAAAATTAATTAATACGAAAATATATCACAATTAAAACAATGACATTAGTTAATACGAAAATATATCACAATTAAAACAATAAAATCAATTAATACGAAACTATATAAAAATTAAAACAATAAAATTAATTAATACGAAAATATATCACAATTAAAAAAAAAATTAATTAATACGAAACTATATCAAAATTAAAACAATAAAATTAATTAATACGAAAATATATCACAATTAAAACAATAAAATTAATTAATACGAAAATATATCACAATTAAAACAATAAAATTAATTAATACGAAAATATATCACAATTAAATTAATAATATTAATCAATACGAAACAATGAGCTAAATCTGGACGAAGGAATTTATTCTATTACCTGATTCAATAATTGTCTCAAGGAATATATAGAAAATACAAAAAAAAAAGGTAAAATAGAACAGAAAATAAGATAATAAGAAAAAAAGAAGCAAGGCAAGACAATCAGTAGGTAACAAGGGGTTACTAAATGTTAGAGAATATGAGAAAAATACTTTTTAAGGAGAGAGGACAATAAATAAACAATTAAGAGGTGGTTCCAAAGCTCGTTAAAACTCCCGATCAGAGGCCTGGCTTGATCTAATTTATAGTCACAACCAGAATGCTTCGGCCACCTTAAACTATGGTAAATTTCTAATAATTACCAACGTATAAGCAGAGGTATTGCATTGCGTTTTGAGCTGCTAGAATTATTTCTTGTGCGAAATTATATTCTATAGCGCTGAATTACATGAAAGAGAAAGATGTAAGTCATTGCAGAAAAAAATGGCCAAATGTTTTAGACCACCTGACATTTTTAGTTTTCTCTTTTTGGTGATGCTGAGAAACAAATACATGTATGTCTGCTAATGTGCAAACGTATTTTCACAATGGCGCCGAATTTTCTTGCATATATAGTAAATACTGACATTGAATTCCTGCGTTCTTTCATTTCTTGAAAACATGGCGGAAATTGAGGAAGGTGGTTCTGTATGTGAGACAACGAGTAATAGAAAATGAACTTGGAATTTCAGGAAGTAGGTTTTCAGACATTCTCATGATGTCTCACGTTAAAACGGCGAGGCCTTTTATTACGATAACGTAGGCTAAATTAATCGCCACCTTTTTTATTACTCATCAATAAGTAATTCTACAATACCGTGCAAAAAACTTCGTTCAGTTTAAACTATTGTAAATTTCTGATAATTGCCATCTTATCCGGGGTTATTCTGCCTCGTATTTTCTACCAATAAAAAAAGTAACCATGTTAGATTCATTTACATACCTAATTATCATATTTTGTAAGTTTAATACGACCTTTAAAATGACAGTGTCTGAAACAGAAAAAATATATGTATCAAAATTTATTTGATGTTTATGATAACTGTTTAATATGAAATATCCAATACTAAGATGGTAATTGTGATAAATTAATAATGTTTTATAGTAGAAATATACTTTGCACGGCACTGTTTTTAAAAACTAACAGTTAAAGTACTTATTTTAATTATTTAACAGCAAGCAAGGGAATAAAGCCACTAAGACCCAAGAAACATAAAAATGTTGAAGAGGGAGAGAGAGATAAAAGACAGGATTCACGGAGACAGAAGATGATGAGATAGATAGATAGATAGAAAGAAACAGAAAGATATATATATATATTTATATATATATATATATATATATATATATATATATATATAGAGAGAGAGAGAGAGAGAGATAGATATAGATAGATAGAAACAGATTAGATACATAGATGGATAGAAACAGAATTAGATAGATAGATAGATAGATAGATTAGATACATAGATGGATAGATGAATGAATTAGATAGATATATAGATATATATATATATATATAGATAGATAGATAGATAATGAACATACTGAACATACTAATAGATAGATAGATAGATAGATAGATAGATAGATATGATAATAGATAGATAGACTAAGATAGATAGATAGATAGATAGATAGATAGATAGATAGATAGATAGATATGAGAAAACTTATACAGTCACAAAGATAGAAAGATATAAGAAATCTTAGTATATACAAGTAGGTAGATAGACAGAGAGAAGCAGTATTTAGATAAGTACAGAGATTTGATATTCTGTTGCGATTACTAATTCTTAAAAGGATTTTTTCTTTCTTTCGATACTGGCTGAAACGAAAGCGGCCTTATGAGACTGTAACAGAATTTATTGTCGATTCGTATTGTCCAAGACAAAAGATTGGGAGTCCTCGAAGTGAAGGCTTCTCGCCTTTAGAATATAATAGAATAATAGACGAAAGCAAGGCCCTTGACAGGTACATAAATTGATTGATAACTTAGGCGAATCTCCAGAAGAACTCGGAAAACTTAACCAAGGTAAGTTCCGCAGTTTTATCCCCAACACCGTGCGGCTATGTTTTCCACATGATGCACGTATACAATGGTTAAAAACTTTTGTATTTACCGGGGCGTAGCGTTTACCGGTATTGAAAGCGGATTTGACATGTCGGGTTTCAAATCCCAGCCAACGGCCATAAAGTTATTGATTAGATATCAGGAAATCTTAAGATTTGTAGCCTTGGTTGCCAACACACCTAGGAAAAGCACAATTCTTAATGGGGCCAGATAGATAGATAGATAGATAGATAGATAGATAGATAGATAGATAGAAGAAAACTTATATAGCTAGCTAGATAGATAGATATGAAATGGCTGATGCATATACACACACACACACACATACATATATATATATATATATAGATATATAGATAGATAGATAGATAGATAGATAGATGCGAAATCTGAGATAGACAGATAATAAGAATACAGTTATAGATACGAAAAACTAATACACATAAATAGCTAGCTAGCTAGCTAGCTAGATAGATAGATAGATATGAGAAAACTGATACAGACACATATATAGATAGATAGATATGAAGAGATTAAGATAGATATGAATAGATGTATACATAGATATGAATAAACTAAGATAGATAGATATCAAGATAGATAGATAGATAGATTTTTTCCCATGATGTACGTATACAATGGTTAAAGCTTTTGTAGGTACCAGAGCGTAGAGTTTACTGGTGTAGACAGCGGATTTGACGTGTCGGGTTTCAAATCCCGGCTTGAGTTCAGTTTCACGCAAACACCTTGAGAATAGTATGAATCTATCTGTTCCTGCCAACGGTCATGGAGTTATTGATTAGATATCAGGAAATCTTGAGCTTTCTATCCTTGGTTGCCAACCGGTGTAGGAAAAGTACAATTCTTAATGAGGCCAGTTAAAAGTACTACTGTACTACTACTGTACTGATGCGGCATTCACCCTGGGCGGATTGAGCCGGCTTCTTCCTGTTATGAGAAGAAGATTCTTGGGATAAATTACAGAAGTAGGGTACCCAGGCCAACTCGGATAACGTTCTTGCTTGCCGCGGGATTCCCACAGACGCAGAGACAGGAACGACCAGAAGCCGCCGGTTACCGATGCAGACGCTCCTTGGATTTTCACCAGAGCCCTTGTTAGCCGGCGTGTGTGTCAGACCTGTCCGCCTTGGGTGGCCCTACCAGGAACGAAGTTCCGGGCGGCATAGCTCTGACACTACCGTTTACACCCCCCCACCGACTGCGAGGTAAGGGTTGGACTTTGGGGGCTTACAGTACCAGGTGTTCCCAAGCGGTCCCCCATCTAAGTACTGACCTGGCTCTACGATGCTTAACTTCGGTGATCGTACGAGAACCGGTGTTTTCAGCGTGATTTGACCGTAAGCTCAGTTTAAAAAAAAGTACTTGCTAAGAGATCCATAGTAGGAAGAGAACATAGCGAACGTTGAAGCATTCTGACCATGAGGCCTGGGTTCGAATCTCACCATGGCCGATTTGTCAGGAAGGAAACTTCCGGATTTTATCGACTCTGGAGGAATCTATCCCAGCTTGCGGCACTTTTTGGAAAACCATACCACAGGTTGACCCAAATCTTGTGAGTGAAATTGGGTAGACGGAATCTTGGGGGTTCGATAGTTGGTCGATAGCTGTGCTAGCATGAAGTCATAAGTCATTGTGACCGAGGGTTTGAGCGTGCTGGCCTTGTTCAATTTGTTGGTCACTCTAGATAACACGCTCTTTACCAGAAACTGCAACAAAGATCTGCTCAGCATAGTTGCAGTATAAACCGCAGGTGCTGAATAAACAGAAATGTGCCTGAGCAAGCGTCTGCAATAGGGATTGGTTAGCCACCCTAGTAGACGGGTATCCCCGAATATGTGTGGCCAGCTATACTGTTTATATACATCGTTAAATCACAGACGTGAAAACCTTCATTCATCTCATTAACTGATGGTAAGATAATCTGTAATAAGAATGATGATGTATTGTTATTTATTGTATCTTAAAATACAATTATGGCACAAGGCCGGAAAAAAAGGAGGGGTTGAGGCTGGTCTTCACTAATTTATACCTAGCTAATCCGATTCACAACCCATTCACTCATTACAATTTGCCCATTCACCATAAAAACTCGTCCGTCAGCAATCAATCCTTCATACACCATAATACCGCATTCTCTCAAGGGGAACCTACAAAACGCAACATATGCCATAAAAATTTAATGATAATAAATAATTATATATAAAAATCTATGATGAAAAATAAGAGGAGAGAAAATTAACCCCAAAGCAAACTAAATACGACCACAAGTAAACTAAGCATAACTGATGTTAATAGGTCCCGTCCAACACTCAAAACAGAGAGGCCGCTGTATTCTGCCCATGTGACAAAATCAAGAAGCTCTCTCGCTAAGGGAGTTGGAAAGGTGAAAATATAGACGGACATGCAAAATAAAAAGCTGACCCAGTCGAGATGAAAAAAGGGGGCCAAAACAAACCGGGGAGGTTGTGAATCTCGACTTGGATCATCACCAATGATGCAGCCGGAAACAGGCCTGGTACAACACTTACTCACATTAACTAGGTACACAAAGGCTTGTCTAACCTAACCAAGGGGAGATAATGATGGCGTATTCGTGCATCTTCTTTTACATATTCCACATAATTTCCAATTAAATTTCAATCATTTATAATTAATAATTCCTTATAAATGATACCAAATAATAAGAAAAAAGTTTAAGTCGACTTTAGAAGAATATTTCTCAACCGGGGTCCATATAAACCCGTGTCGTCCATTACTGGAAGTGCACTAAAAAATAGCAAATTTGGGGCCCACAATATGAATCCCTCATATCCGGAATCTCTCATATCTGGAATCCCGCATATCCGGACATGATTTTGATGTCTATATTTGAACTATTTGCCTGATATGTAACTGATTTGAAATTTTTGTTTTTCGGGGAATTTACTTTGGATGGCTTGTATTAGTGCAAAAGATGATAGGAATAAGAGGAAACAATGACAACGAGAAATATCTGTAACAAGATGGCGACGAGATGCATGATTGTGGTGAAACCTAGACTGAAATTGAAAAACTAATGTGAAAGTTTGTCAGTTTTATGGAAAGAAAGCCAGCATTCAGCTATGACGATTGCAGTAACGCACGCAGAGTTAAAGTGTTTCGTTTAAAAAAATCCAAGAATAGAAGCAAGACCAAATGCGGAAAATGTTGAGAATGCCATTAGAAGAGAAAGAATCATCATGCAACAGCGATTAAAAAAATCCTCGTTACATTATTTGTTTTGCATACGTGGCATACTTAATTTAATGAATTTTCATTAACATTACATAATTTATTTCTTTTTCCTTAAAACCAATTCCGTTATATTTAACTCACCCTTACCTTATTTTGTTTACTATAAAACATTGAAAATAAATGTTAAACCTGATTTCAGTTCTTTTTAATTTAATCTAAACATAACTCCTCATATCCGGACTTTGTAACCAATTCCTCATATCCGGAAGGACTTTTTAGTCCGGTGTCAGGGATTTTTCTGTATTTTGGTGGACCAGAGAGCAATTTCACTTCGGAACAGTTCTTACGACTGAGAATTGGAATTTCTATATTTCTATCTGTATGCCATATTAAAGTACTAAAAAAAAAAAAACCAAAAAAAAAAAAAAAACAAATCTAAAACTAGCATAAAACGAGATCAAGCGATTTAAGTCAGAGTCCCTCTTACTTTACCGGATGTTTTGATTGTAAAAGTTTAATAAAACCGAAAAGGATATATAAAGGAAGAATTATGTATATATATATAAAGGAAAATTATAAAAAAGATTATAATTTATTATAGAAATTAATATAATATATCAATAATAAAAAATAATATTAATTTCAAATATTATTAAAATAAATTATTAATATAAATTAATTAACATAAAATATTGCAATAAATGAAATTTAATTAAATATATAATTATACATCAAAGAAGGATTAAACGTATTAACCTCTACAACAGCATCAATCATAGAGATGTCATTGGATAAATCTACACATCTTTTTTAATTTATTAATTACTCAGATATTTTAAAATTGTTTATTATGAGTTATTTTACTAGTGTACATAAATGTGCCATAGAATTTAGTTGTTAAATACAAGTTTATTTTCAATAATTAGTTTTACTTCAAAATAAAGCATATACATTTAATATTTTTATAATGCAATTCCTAATCTTATCTATTAGTAAAAAATAAAATGGGCTTTTTTTTTCATTGGAATATTATGGAGATCTACAAAAAAAAAAAAGTGGCCGATAAAAAAAAAAAAAAAAATAAAAAAAAAATACATTGAGACCTACAACTTTAGAAAAAAATGGAAACCCAATCCTAAGCAGGCGACGAAAGATAAACTTCCAATCTTGGTAAAAAGACCAAGGAGGAGTGTGAACCTAGCGATAAATGAATCTATCTATTCATTCTGGTGTTGCGTTGCAATATTCCATTAATTTAGCGTTTTAAAATCTGTTTTTTTTTTTCAAAGTGGGCAGTATCCATCATTGCAGATTAAGAAAGTTTATGTCCTCTGCCGAAATCTTTCTCATTTTCAACCAACAGCAAAATTGACAGTACGTCTAATTTTATGCCGTTAAAACTCGTACAAAGCATTGTCTTCTGAAGCGATTTGGTTATCTACTTCTGTGAATGACACACCTCTTTCCATGTCTATCAAATTGTGCCGTACTCACCCTGTCATATGTGACTCAGATTTGCGTTTAGCGAACTATGTTCGCTAGTGGACATTTTTCGACTACCAGTTCACTGAAGTCGCGCTGTATCGATTTCTTGCTGAAAGTCAAAAACCATCTTTTCACCAGGTGAAATGTTCTTTTGTAATGGCACTATACACTTTTGTAATGGCACTATACAATGGGGTCTGTACTAGCCACTTTTATAAGTCCTAGCCGGGAAATACTGCCGACTACTTGTCAGTAACGGAGAAAGTACACTCAGTATCTGTAAGGCACTTTCTCACAGTTCGTAGTTTCTTAATGTCTTTTCTACCAAGATTTTCATGGCAGCTGTACTAATGAGTTTTTCTCCCCTTGTGCCTCGATTGCACAAATTTAAGCGTGCTACTAGATTGACAATTAGGTCTCAATTTTTGACAGTTGAACTAACTAGATACAACCGCTATTTTAGCAGTTTCCTTTCTTGCACTCTCGTGGAACTCACTTCCGATAACTATTTTTTCTAATTACAATCTTCAAAACTTTAAACGCAACGTCAATCGCCATCTTCTGTCTTCTTGAACTCTGTTCCTTTATTGCCTTTTCTTCATTTCTCCCCACTAAAATTGTCTCATTCTCTTTCACACCCAGTAACCCCTTACGTCTTCGTGGCATTATCTTCTTTCTTGGGATGAAATGATTAAAAAATCAATCAATCAATAATATTGACTGGGTCCCCAAAAAGGGTTACACCCTCGCCTATTCGGGGTGTTCGAGCGTAGTCTGCAATAAATATGCTCATACAACGTGACCATTCACTTTTACCGCAGATATCCTTGAGAAAGCTATAAATCCATCTCTTCACCCCTACTTATGGATTAAACAGTAGGACTTGTATATGAAAAAATCATTATCTCCCCCAAATCTTTTAACCCAATGTCCATTCGCACTCAAAAACAAGAATTATATATTTCGGTTTTAAGTAAGCCACTAAAGGGTAATACGCCATAAAAAATTCTTTTCCCCTGGTGCCTAGACTACATGATTGTAAAGGTGCTACTAGATTGGCAATTAGGTTTCATCGTTATACTGTTGACCTACTTCGATGCAACCGACATTTCATCTCTCACAGTTTTTTTTTTCTCTCCCGTCTCACCTTATGATTACTTGGTTCTCTGTTGCCTACAATCTTCTAAAATATAATGCAGCGCCGATTGCTATCTTCAGTCTCGTTGAAATATTCTTATAGATGAAATAAAAATAAATATCAACTAAATATTAAATACGTTTTTTGTAAATGTCTCAAATGAAAAGAAATATCGGTTTTTCTCAAATGCCATAGCTAACTTTTAAATATAACAATGATCTGAAAAGTATTTTTATCGATTTATATATTTTTATATTCTGCCCTTTAAATTCATTGAGGACATAGGGCTGCAAGATATCATTGTGGTTTCTGTAACAAGCCAGTTCTTAAGTGAGAAGGTTGTTAGCCTACTGCACAGGAAGATCAGGTTTTTAAATTTTGGTTTTCCTTCTCCTAGATAAGTTGCCATCCACGGCAATAGAACCCAGTCTGTCCTGCTATTTACCCATAGAGAAGAAGCCGATTCATACCTTTCCCAAGGGTATTACCACGTAAGTGAATGGATTCGACTGGTACTCAAACCCGGCTCTCTGATTCCTCAATCCGATCCGCTATCAATTACTCCACCATGCCTCCTTTTATACCGATTTGCTAATAACTATTTTATTGAGAACTGTTCTTAATATCGGGGATAGAGCGTATTCCAATATAAAAGTAGACACCTAGTTAAACAGCAAGCGGCGACTGAAGATGGCGGTCAAACAAGAAACAGACTGTCGATGTTTCTGGTACCACGAAGGTACAAGTAAGCAAGAGCGAATTTGCCAGTCTGTTGGTTTTCTTCGAGCAAAGATCACAGTCATCTCTGTGCTCAGAAAATGCAACTAAAAGCCTCTCAGCTGTTACAGTATAAAACAGAGGTTAGTTGCATGTCTGAGGAAGAAAAACAAATGTACCTGAGGGGGCCTCTGCACCCCAGCAGACTCAGAAACGAAGAACCATTATTTACTCTGATAATAGGAAGGGTAAAATTAACCGTTTCCATACAGAGAAAAATTTGGCATCCATTGACGGAACCGCGAGAATTAATGTCGAGTTAAATTTATACATTTTTTTTTATTCCTAAAACAGTATTTCAGGAAAGTCAGCTTCTTAAGTTCTTCGCTAATACATCTCTTTCTTGTGTCGATGGGAGTTTAATTTCAAACACTTCGTTTTTGGTAATTGTTGTTAGAAGCTCCAATCACGGAAACATTTGGTATTCACTGAACGAGCAGCGAGTAACACTTTCGGTTAAAATTCATAAAATCGTTCTCTAAAAAAAAAAAAAAAACTTGTTTTAGGAAAACAGCTTTTTCAAGTCCAGTTGCTGTTTCAATCTTTCCCTAATTGATTGGGTTTGCTTTACTAATCTTCTATTTGAAATGGGTGTAGAATGTTAACATCTTCATTATGCCATTATTTCCTCTTCATGTTACATGTGTTATGCATTTCAGTTGTTGCTGCTACTGGTAGTCCTCAATGAATATGGTTTCTGTTATTTGCTGCAGTTCTTTATATGTAATTCAGTAGCGTCAGTCCACAATATTCAAAGGATGATATTTACTCGCTCTAGGGCTCCCCCATATGATCTTATGAAGCGCTTGTATACATCTGAGGGTTTAGACAATTCTGAAAGGGTTTCACGCCATGCATGAGATCTATATGAAAGTTTTGATCTGAGGAGGATATTTAAGAACATGACCCGAATTTTCAAGTTCATGTTTTGGTTTTGTGGCAATTGGTGGTGTTGAGAGAAACTACATCTGGCACAGCCTATTCTA